GTGGGGAATCACAGAATAGGCTCTAGGAATGAGAGGGGACAAATGCATCGTGAATACATTCTTCGAAAAAAAGACTAGAGCGGAAGTGGACATGGAAGTCGCCATCGGACATCAAAAACGAAATTGACTTCATAATTTTAAATAGGCACGATGTAATAAAAAAAAGCGAAAGTTATTAATTAAGTAGTTGTTGGCAGCAACCATAGAATGGTCAGAGACCAAATTAAATTACATCTTAGAAGCGAAAGGAACAAACTAATACGAAAACCGCAGCCAAATTTAGCTAACTTGCAGACAAGAGCAACAGAATTTAGCCTTAACATCCAAGACAGATATTCACTTCACAGCGACGAAGAGTTCAACACTGACCAAATCAACAAACAGTTCAGTGACATAATAAAGGAAGTTGCACTTGAAGTAGGCGGTTAGAACTTCAAGCAAAGCTCCAGGAAGCTCTCGGTAGAAACTAAACAGCTTATGGAAAAACGTAGTGTCATGAAAGTATAGTTAAACAGGGACAAAATAGAATAAGCTGAACTAACAATGACTATAAATAAAAAGAAGAAAGAAGATGTACGGAAATTTAATACTCGAATGATAAATGAAACAGTGATCTCAGGTATCAGCATGCAAACAGCTAAAAGGAGACTCGGAATAGGGAGAAATCAGATATATACAATAAAGAAAACAGGCGGAGAAGTGACTTACAATAAGAATGAAATCATAAGAGTAGTGGAAGACGAGAATCTATGTAACTTAAATGACCAGTCACGAATAGAAGCGAACGCTATAACTAGAGACGTACCTACCAACACAACAGAATAAATAAAGAGTGCTTAAGGGCATGGAGAGAGGGAAAACACCAGGTGAAGACAGAATTAGTATAGACCTTATAACAGATGTAGGAGAAAGGGCAACAGTGAAACTAGCCAATTCTTTTTAACAAATGCCATCTCAACGGAAAAATCCGAAAGACTGGAAAATGCAACAATTGCTTTGATCTAAAAAACTACCGACCCATAAGCCTCCTTTCAGTTACTTACAAACCGTTTACAATAGTCATCACAACTCACATCTCTGACAGTCTCGATTCTAACCAGCCTAGGGAACAGGCAGGCTTCCTCAGTGGATTCTCAACAACAGACCACATCCACACGCTCATCCAACTAAGAGGAAAAAGTAAACGAATATAGGAAACCCCAGTGTATGACATTGATCGATTATGAAAAGGCATTTGACTCTTTATAAATACGAACAGTACGAGAAGTTATTCGAAGACAGGGAGTAGAGGAGGTATATTGTATAATTTTGGAAGATACCTACGAATATGGGACAGCAACCATCAAGCTCCACACGGAAACCGATAAAATACCAATTGAAAAAGGTATCAGAAAGGGCGATACTATCTCACCAAGACTATTTACAGCTTGTCTTGAGGAACTATTCAAGAAGCTAGAATGGAATGGGAAGGGTATCACAATAGGAGACGAATACCTAAGCAATCTAAGACCTGCAGATGATATTGTTCTCTTCAGTGAAAGTCGGACTTAGGATGAACAAGAAAAATACTAATATCATGTTCAATTTGAACAGATACATAGAGTGCTAGAGGTGGCAGACAAGTATATATATCTAAGATAACTCGCACAGACAAACACATTTAGCGAAGAGGAAATAAAGCGACGCATCAGTCTAGGCTGGAGCACTTTCAGCAGATGCAAAAGCGTAGGAAGTAGCTCCTTGCCATTATGTTTAAAAAAAAGTCTTTAACCATTGTGTCCTCCCCGTTATGGCCTATGGATCAGAAACATGGATTACAACCAAATTACTCGAGAGGAAGCTAATAAGTGGCCAGAGAGGGATGGAGAGGTTGATGCTGGGAATTAGCCTCACAGATCGGATAAGGGCGACGTGGACCAGGAACAGACAAAAGTGGAAGATATACTCGGGAGCATCAAAAAGAAAAAAATGGCAATGGGCAGATGATATACGTCGGAGACAGGAGAACAGATGGACAAAGAAAGTAACAGACTGGGCTATAGATAACATAAAGAGGTCAAGGACCAGACCAATTACAAGATGGCGTGACGAAATAACGAAATTTGGGAGCCAAGACTGGAAACAAAAAACGCAAGACAAAGTTGAAAAAGATTGGGAGAGACCTACGTCCTGTAGTGGATTGATTCAGGCACATGATGATGATCATTATATATATATGTGTGTGTATGTGTGTGTGTGTGTGTGTGTGTGTGTGTGTGTGTGTGTGTGTGTGTGTGTGTGTGTGTGTGTGTGTGTGTGTGTGTGTGTGGTGTGTGCGTGTGTGTGTACAGACACACATATATATGTATGTATATGTATATATATATATATATATATATATATATATATATATATATATATATACATATATATATATATATATATATATATATATATATATATATATATATATATATATATATATATATATATATATATTATACATATATATATATATATATATATATATATATATATATATATATATATATATATATATATATATATATATATACACACACACACACACACACACACACACACACACACACACACACACACACACACACACACACACACACACACACACACACACACACACATATATATATACATTTACACATACATATATATGTATGTATGTGTGTGTGTATGTGTAAAGAAAATGACAAAAAACAAATCTTTAAAGGAATGGTGTCACTGCCGTGGGAAAAGTGCTGTAATAAATATCGTGAAATTTTGTTCGTGTGTTGGAATTCATACAATTAGGATTGTTGATGTTGTTTATTATCAATCAATCTATATCTATCTATCTATATATATCTGCTGCCTTTTTTAGTTTTTATTTATCATTCTCTCTCTCTCTCTCTCTTCTTTCCCCC